CACTTGGCTACCGACGTGCATCCATACTCTGCTGCGACGTGGAGAGCAGTGCAGGACTGTCTGTCCGTTGCATTGATGGAAACCTCTTCATAAGCGAGCAATTGTTGGACTACCTCCCTGTCACTCTTTTTCGTGGCTTGATGCAACAGTCTCTGACCATCTCTATTTCTAGAATTGGGATCTGCGCCATGGGCAAGGAGTAGGGCGATGACATCATGAAGGCTTGCCTGTACAGCCTGACGGAGCAGACGGTTTCTGATAGTGTCATCCTCCAGTAGGGTCTTTCTTGAATTGGAATCTGAATGAAGGAGTAACAGCCGGGTAATTCTTGGGGTCTTCCTGGTAATGGCAAGGCTGAATGGTGAAAATTGTTTGTAATCTGGCGTTCGTATATCGCTGCCCCGTTCCAGAAGGACTTGCACCAGATTCTCATCGCAGGATGCGATGGCGTACCAAATAGCAGACCGGTTCTTGACGTCCGTTATATTCAGACATGGATTGAAATCCAGTAAAAGTGATGCAGTAGACAGAAGATTCCTTTCAATGGCATATACCAGTGGAGTCTGCCTGCGTTGATCTTGCCAATTGATATCCGCTCTCTTATCGACAAGAAGCGTGCGAATAATTGTCTCGTTCTTAGTGCGCATTGCATGAAAAATTGGTGTGCGAGATCTACGGTCCGTAGTGTTGGCGTCCGCTCCGTAGTCGTCCAACATCATTTTTACAAATTTCGATTTGCCTCGGCGGACTCCCCAAAATAAGGCAGAGCTGCGTTGGTGTCGGACGTTGAACGTGTACAGATAGTCGAGGAAAAGGTCATTCGCTGCATGATTGAGACAAGCCAGTGCAAACAAATCTCTGGCTTGATCCAGGCTCTCCGCTATGCAAAGAAGCATTTCAACGGGAAGATCGAGGAGGAACATCTATCCCTTACGTTAGTATTAACTCATACACCGAGTCGTGTAGTAAATAGTGGAGGCGGGCATACTCACATTGAAATGTTGGGTTAAGAGGAGCTGATTACGGCTTGGTTCGTGTGAAATTGGCCTGGTGGGTGACTTGAATAGAAAGCTGAGAGATGGAAGAGAATGCTTGACTGTCTTATATGTGTCATAAGATATATCTTGTGGCGATCTGTCTAAGCTCAGGGTCCAGGATAACTCCTTGTAAGATAGGAAATTAATGGGAAAAATTCATGAACAAATTAGGCTCCCGGGAAGCAGTATTAGCTACCATGACCCCTACAATGTGAGTACACACGGTTCGAGCGGTGGATCCCGGGTTGAAAAAAAGATTCTGAGTCGCCAATAGATGGCAAGGCCCTAGACTTCCCGGCGTACGTCAGGCCCTCCCTGATATATACCTCGTCATTAATGCGAGGAGTTGCTACTTCCTGGAGCAGCCAATCGGGCTCCCGGGAGCAATGGTCTTGTATGTGATGATCATGTGGATGCAGAGGTTGATAGGGTCTCGGATCAGCAATCGACATCAAGGAAAACTATAGCTGACACTGGACAAGTTGTAGTGCGAGGAAGCAATAGAGAGAAGCTTCCTCGCGTTTAGGGAGACCCATATGTGGAACAAAAATGGGGGTGCCCCGAGTCACAGACAGGGTTAAACAGCGATATGATTATTCAGGTGCTCACACACCGCATGCACATTGTGGGTCCCGTGCAGATCATATCTCCATCCGTATGCTTCATGTATAGGGCTAGGTGGCTCCTAGAACCTACTCCTTTGCACCCAGAAACATTTCATAGGCCTCCAGGAGCAAGAGAGTTCCCAGGGCCAAGACAGTGTGTTCCTAGCACAGATAGAACCGCCGACAGGAACGTGATCGATTCTTGATAGTGACGATGGATAGTCCTACAAGCTACGTACGATTTGCTGTGGCTATGGTATTTCCTGAGTCTCCGTTTTGGTCGGCGGCCCGCAGATGTGTCCGATGTCTTCGGAGTAAACCAGCTCCTGGAATCACCCTGGGCTCCCAGAGTCTGCTATCTTTTTAATAAGGGCGTTAGGTGCTCTTTGATTGGTCGGTCGCTGTATATACCATACTAGTGCACTTCGTGCAAGAGCGTTTGACCCGGACGCGACGTTGTGGGTGAAGAAATACATAAATACATGCTTCCCGTCCAACCATTTCCATATCTTCTCTCCGTGATATCCTCCCACATATTCTCCCACATATTCTCCCACAAAGTAGCCCCTCATCGCTTGACCCAAAAATCAAGTGCTTATGATATCTTCCGACAATGCCGATCCATTTCACTTCAGAGAACCGTTTTCTCCAAGTGGGGATCAACCATGGTAACATTTATCCATGTGCCGAACCAAGACCAGTCATTCACCCCCAAGACAATTTGATTTCAAATTCGGAAAAACATATCGATGCTGCTACAGCAACAGCTCTGGATCATGCTTTGAACAAAGCCCAAAGATGTCTAGACATGGTTCAGGACACAGCATCTCAGAATACCCAAGTTGTTGGAGTTGCGGAACGCCTTGGCAACATGCTTCTGAACCTGCAAGGCCTCAACGCTATGCAATGGGGCTCTCTAGACGGTGGTGTACTATCCTATGTCTTTTCGCTCTTATATTGCTGCATCGCGGAATGCTACGAGCTCGAATCTACTCCGCTAGCAATGTCGTCGCTACGCGATGGCCTTACCGCCTGCAATTTGGCTCTTCAATGTGTGCATGGCGCAGCTTTGATGTATATCTTGATTTCTCCATCTCCTGCTTGTCATAATCTAACCAAATAGCTTTTTAGAAATCAGGACAACAAGAGATCAGTATCTTCACAACAGCAGAAAGTCACGGAGGCCATAGGAGAAGTGGGCAACAAAATATTCAAAAATGCGGACGGAATGAGCCCAGCGATATACCATTCTTAGGCAGTCATCAATTTGTTGAAGGACACTCGTGAGCCAGGTGCTGCGGCCGCATCTGGCCACATGCATGTGAGATTCGGCGGAGGAAACCGTGGTATTCAAGTCGCTGAGTATCATGGAAACATGGGACACTTAATCTTTCCTCTCTAGAAGCCCCAGCAGATTTGACGAAATTTTGTATGCTGTGCATCTGGATATACTGCTCTGGATGTCTATTTGCTGTTTATATGGACAGAGACAGAAAATGCGCATAAAACAAGGAAAATTCCACTATTTCCTGGACTTCATTTTCCCCGTAGCCTTCAGCCATGGAAAAAAATCAGGCTCAAGCAAATTGATATCAGACCAATAAGGCCTAATAAGTAGACTTTTCCGCTTACTTCTGGAGGCAGTAATGGGACGGCCTCCGTCTGGGCACCAATTGGAGCGAATGGGGCGGACCACCGAGATAAAAACACCTCCTGGTCCTATCCATAGCGAACGATCAAGCACGTCAAAGCACAAAATCCTGACACGAAGTACATTCGGTCTGGAAGAAAAGGGTTCTTCTGCTCATTTATATCAGCGTGATAGTGAGACAATGCAGCATTTTTGACCCTGGGAGTTTTAAAGGCCTATGGACCACAAACCAGACCATGGAGGATCTCGTGGGCTTAATTGGACTACGCACAATCGGACCATTCTAAAGCTCCCTTCCTATGCAACATATCCAATAATTATTTCCTTTCAACGCCACCATTCTTTTGGGAGGATCGAAATCAGTTTCACCACTTGCACATAGAGATTCTCTCTCGAACCTGTCCCAAAACACGCTATACCTATTACGGTTACTCTGCCCCTGAACCCCTTTCTTGGCATTATTCCATTGCTATGCCAAGTCTTACACGGACTCGCTCGGGTCCTGTTGAGGATTTTGCAGGACGTGCCAGTTGGTGCGCCAAGTAGGTCAGTCACACCCTTGCGCTCCCCTACTTGTGGGATGGGTTGTCTAAGGTGAACTGCAAAGTGCAAAGTGCAAAGGTGTATCCAAGTAACAATGAGGACTGATCGCGAAGATAAAATACATGTGTGCTATATGAGTGACCTTATATGTCCATTTCATCCGATCCTTGGCTTTGATTGATCATAGCCTCGCTATGCCCTGGTCATACCCTCTGGTCTGACTGGTGACCCCCATCACATCTGGGCTATGTTGTATCACGTGATCTGCGGTTCCTTCGTAACATGACAAGACTCCTTCGTAACGTTATCTGATCCCGTTCTTGCTAACTGTTCCAAGTTGATTGGTATCAGTGCTATCTTCCCCCACATTAGCGCGTTGAGCTGAAGGTTTCGTAACATCGTTATTTTAGACTCCACTCGCCTTTCTCACACCTCTCGCCGCTAGCATCTCCACAATCCGATCTGTCAGCCTCTCCACCATCCCTAGCTCGGGATCGTGATCCGGATTGACCTCCGCGACTGTCAATCCTCCCACCCTCTCACAAGCCAAAATTACATTCAATGCCCGCATCATCTGCTCAAATGTCACCCCCGTGAAGTTCGGCAAGTTTGCTAGCGGAAAAAGCAACGGATCGATGGCGTCGACGTCCAGATGCACCATGATGACATCGACCCTGCTCTCCAGATACTGTAAGGCTTCCTCCGCGCGCTGCTCAGGCCCATGTGCCACGGAAGCTGAGCTGACAACCTTATAGTTGTTGTCGAAGAGGTATGTGAAGTGCTCGTCCTTGTTTCCAGAGTAGGACATGTTGATGCTGAAAAGGACTGTGTTGGAGGCGTCGCAGAGTGGCTCACCGGAAGGACGTGAGAACTGCTCCATGCTCTTTAGTGCACCGGGAGACCGGATAAGGTGCGTCATGTTCATTCCTGCAAGGTTGCCGGTAGAGCCGGGGTTAGTCGGAGAGGCAAGGTCAGTGTCGGCGTCGATATAGATAAGGCCGACGCGTAAGGACGGTGTCTGGGAGTCTGCGTGCTTCCAGAAGGCGGAGAGGATGGCTGGGGACATGCAGCATTCGCCGCCAAGTATGAGTTGGAATGGGGGTTGGGCGACAGACGAGTTGAGGTTTTGTGCAATGGTGCGACGGACGCGTTGGCAGACCGAGATGTTCACTTCTTCGTTGCGGACGCTGCCTGGAGCGAAGGTTGTTGCTGCGTAAGTCGCGGGCGTGTCTAGTGGGTGGTGCTCTGAGACAGACGGGAGACCTGCGTCCCGCAGCTTGCTCGCAATGCTGACATCTTGAAAGGCTTTAGGTGCTTTGGATTTGCCTGGGATGATAGAGCCGCAATCGGCGGGCACGTAAGTGATGGAGACTGAACGTGAGGCAGCCATGGTATGGTTGGTAATGAGACAAATTTAAGGTTTCTGTCGAAAAGAAATATAGAGAGCAGATATCAATGAAAGTGATTTGCAAGAGGTCAACCCCAATGAAAGATGCCGAATACTGCAGATGATGACAAGGGAAGAGACTGTATCGTTGATGCTTCACACAGGGCTGGCACTGATCAAGCACCGAGTCAAATATGAGTCACAAAACCTAGTGGGCTTATGATTGGCTTGGATGATGCGGAGAACAGTCCAAAGGCAAAGACTGTTTATATGACATCCAGGACACCGGGCTGATTATTAATACATATACAGGGGGGATCAAACATTTTGCCACAGATCCAGGTGCCAGTCAGGCCTGGAAGAGGAGATCTGGGACTGCCGACTGAGCGCATATTCTTGCCTATATTGTTGACAGAACGTTCACTACACTTCGTCACCTTGGCGATTTGAGATTTAGTGACTTTTACTACTGCGTATCATATGAACAATGATCTTACGCTGCCAGGGTTCGAGATTTCGTACCATCTTGCGGTAGGTTGGGATGTTGTTGCTTAGATTTGGGACGCTTGGATTGGGACGCTTGAGTGGGAACGACGTCATGGTACGTCACAGTGCCCTGGTTTTATTTTCGGGTGTAACAGTACATACATTCACAGATTCCTTACTGAGTCTTTTACCGTACCCTAATTCACGGGCGAGCGGTCAACATGGGCGAACGGTTTGCTCCAAAACACGACGTAGTAAATGCGATAAATTACAACATAGTATCACAACAACGGCAGGTTATAGGGACTTCTCCTTAAAAACTAATGCTTTCTAGGTGGTATCTAGTCTCTAAGAGGAGTTTAAAGAATTTCTATAAATTAGTAATTGAGATATATATAGGTAGAGCGGGCAAGATCTTTCGCAGTCAATTAATATGAAAATAACCCAAACTCCTATCAACCCTAAAGTTTTCCGGACGATGCATCCGCCTCATGGTCCTGATCCTTGCAAAACTCATGACAATGGTCCTGATATAGAGCCCGAGTGACGAATAAGTTTCATGATCTCAGCTGGCTTCCGATCAACGCGAGTCTCCCAGACAATTTTCCGTCCATCGTCAAGACAAAACAGTCGTAAACGTCCAGTCTGAAAAGCCTCTTGATCCGCGATGACAATATACGCCGCAAAGGTGGCGTTCGGTGGAGGTTTCGCTGACTCTTCAGTCATCTTAACCTGACTCTCTCTCCATCCATGGAGGCCTTCCTGATTCCTTGTGTGTAGACTTCTGGCGGACGATGCTTGAAAATGTTTTAGTTTGCTCGGATCATCAGATCGTCGCCTGCGATCAACGGGACCAACGACCTCAGGCATGATTTCGTACACCTGCTGCCAGTCTGAGCCGAAATTAAATAAGTACGGATCGTTGAGACATGCCCACCAGGCGTCATCCTCGAACAGATCGTTTTCATGAATCCATTCCTTAAGTTTGTGATCATCGTCTGGGTTATAATGGGTCCGAAGAAAAACAAGCACGTTATCCTTAGACATATAGTATGCTTTTCGACGAATGTCGTTATCGGATCGCCAGGGTTTAAGAATTGTATCAATCTCCTTTAGCGTTGGCATTCGCGGAGGGAACTCATCCAAAGAAACATATTCTTCGGGAATCTCATCAAGTTCGAGAAACCGGTTAATTAGTCGCCGCCGCTGCTTGCTAGGTGCGTCGGTCGTGGAGTAGTTCCAGTTTCTCTGTTGAGCTGTTAGTAAAGATAAATCGTAAATAAACAGGTGTATTGTGTATCCCCTACAACCAAATATTGTTCTATGGGCAGCGAGCCCCATGGAGGAATCATTCCCCAAGAATGAGAACAGTCATCGGCCATCGGTATGACTTTATTTGCTGTGTGCTTATAACGGTGATCGCCGTCGATAGATGTCTCGAATACAAAAGCCTGAACAAGGAGGGGCAGGTGTGAAGCACGATAGCAGCCGAATTTTCAAGATAAACTATCCGACAAATGAGAGTGATTCGACTATTTCATTCGGCCCACTGATAGGCATGACGGTTGAATGACATCAACCCGCGTGATACGGTATTCAGTTAGAGTAAAGTATGGTGATGGCCCAGATACAGAAATATTGATATTCCGGGCCAGCGACGTCCTTTTAAGGCGTGTTCCTCAGTTTTAGTAGGGCCGCCAACTGCATCGCCATTTTCGTAGATTCTCGGCATTCAAAAGGCGTTGGATTGAACGGATCTTAACCTTATAATCAACCTCGGCAAGGAGGTCCTCGTGTGTAGACTTTGGATTATCATGAATAACTTCCACGATACGGTTTTTATCGGCTTCAGTAAGCGTTTTTGGCCGCTCAGGTCGAGGTTCCGAGACTCCTTGATGTCTTTCGGGCTCCTTCACAATAGTATATCGAATTGTTGAGATTGGAATCCAAGGATAGCAATTGTGAATACGTCGAAACCCCCATCCAATAGAATGTAGTTCACACATACGTTCTAGCAAGGCAGGGGTAAGTTCTGTGGACCTCACCATAGAGGAATAGTAGCAGTAGCAATAGTAGCAGTAAAATAGAGCCAAAAGGGGTAGAAAATTATTAAACCTGAAGATGCGTATAAAGTACGACCAACCATTTTAGCATGCTCGTGTATCAGGTAGGCGGTAGAGGCAGTGAGAAAGTGGGTCATTCAGGTGTGTTAAAAACATAAGACCAGTCACTGTACAGTAGGTGGCCGGCAGAGTGCTATCGATTCTCCGCAGGTGACCGCCTTTGGATGGATCGAAATAAGTTTCATCACTTTACTCCCTTGGGTTCTTTCTCGAACCCTATTTTGTACTCACCCTGTATCGGATACAGCAAATTAAAANAAAAAAAAAAAAATTGGCCGTGAAATAGAGCGGATCGGCGAGCCAGCCTAGACATTCAGCGCATTCAGTACTACATCTCTTTACATATTGCAGGCTCAATAAAGTGATTACCCTTGTCTTTCAACGTCAATTATATAGAATGAAGTGGCGTAGACAGGTGAATATAGAAACTAGAGATGCTAAAGCCGCTCGACTATCAATTTGGGTTTCGTCTGTGGGATGCTGGTTCCGGCGTACCTTTGACAATACATTGGATATAAGCTTGGCATCCTCGCTATTGGCTCTTGAATGTATTTGCTGCAGCACGGCTTTATAATCTTGTACCTGAGATGACAGCTGTTCAAGCTCTCTGTTTGCAATTGTCAATGGCAGTCATACCAGTTCTTACAGGAACATGTACCACCTTTGTGTGTGTTCTTGGTTCCTTTGCCGATACCAACATTTCTTTTGCGACGTCTTACAGGGCTGACATTCAGGACTCTCCCCACTGCACCTTGCCTTCGTTAAATGGCAAGGGCCACACGCATGTGACACTCTTCTCTTCGCCAATGAGACCGGTTTGTGCAATCTCGGGATACGTCGTTTGAAATTCACTGTTTGAGCGGTGACTGGGGCACGTGGATAAACGTCGTCGAACTCGGAAGGATTTAGTGACTCGGAGACGGGGGTGATGTCTGTCTTGGCGCTCTGAATAGGAGACTTGGCCATGCTTAGCGAGTCAAGTGACACGTTTTCTGATTCTTGGGTAGTGATCGAGGTGAGGTGCGTTCGCGACACCTCTACTTGCAGCTGAGACAGATGGGGAAAGCCGTGGTCCCATATCGCTGAGCACGCCAGCGGTCTACTAAAATTATTTGGGGGCGTTGGCATACGTCCCGCACTCGGTCGCCAGATCTGGTAGTACGACGATGCCGTATGTGCGAAATGTAGACGAGGGAGTAATTCTGACGTGCGGTATGGCAATGGACTATTGTTGCCCAAAGCCTCCCGAATAGATGGAAGGGAATGTAGTGGTGCCCGCTTGTCTTCCTCCTCCTCAATCGCACGACGCGACTCTGGTGGTGAAATGTATCCGGTCTGCGGTGCAGTGGTGGCTGATGCGTAGGAGTAGGGTAGGAGCGATTGTCCAAAGGACGTTGAGTTGGGATCCATGAGAGGGATGTAAATCGAAGAATGTTTACCGGCTGACCATTTCTCCGTAGAAGCCTGGGTTCACGGGGGAGGAGAACACTAGGCAGCTTCTGGACGAACTATGTCAGCTTCAACGAGTACCAGCGTTCAATGGTCGCCGGTAATGAATAAAAACAGCAGTAGATAACAACGGGAGCTTAAGGGAATAGAGAAGCTTGCTTGCCTACCTGGGTTGGTTCTTATGGTGCCACTGCAGCCTTCTATTAAATATTGAAGGAGTGTAGGCGAAGGCTGCGTGTAACGGGTCGACCAAAATGCGAAAGAGAGAGGGGATGGATCTTGCCGACCTGTTATGAGTTTCCCTTTGTTTGGCTTGTTTGCATGAAAGGTTCGGACTAGGGAAGGCAAAATGTAATTTCAATATTTCGAAATTTCTGTAATTTGGCCTCTTGAAATGAAATTTGAAATGGGCCTTGAAATCTTGAAATCGAGCTATTCCGTAAACGGTAGGGTTTATTTTATTTGCTACCAATCAGAACCCTAAATGCAGAGGACGTGAAATCGACATCAGCCTTTATTTACACCCCGCCGTTGAGCTGGCTGCTCGCAATGCTCTGCAACTCCTTGAGGCCATTCAGATAAACGCTTCTTCCCTTTAGTGTTGCCAACCTCAACTGTTCTATCGGTACTAGTTATGATCGAGCTCGGGCGTATAGGATGAGCTGAATTTGGCGTAGATGTCGTTGGAGGAATCGGGAGAGGCTCCGAATTTGGCTTAAGCAAAGAGTTAAGCCTCGAATTCAACGCAGAATTCAACGCGGAAACTAGCGCAGAAGTCGGTGCAGAATTCGGTGCAGAAGTTGGTTCTGGATCTTGTTCCGAATTTGATTCAGGTCCTGGCTCGGGATTCAAGTCGGGATTTATGTCTAAAGTTGACACGAGATTCGACCCTACACCAGGCGTAGGACTTGGCGTAGGACTAGATGCGGGATTCGATGAAGTATCCGAAGTCACAGAACCCTCTGACAGATGGTCCTGCACCTGCTTACGCTGCAAAACCCTCTCTATTTCGTTGTCTTCTTCCTCAAGAAGGAACTCTTGGGTGATTTTAGGAGGCTGTTCTGTCCGGAATTGTCGTTTATTGATCTGGACAAAGAGCAACTTCTCAACGCGATGAGGCTCGAGCCGATTCCGGACTTTTGTGTGCTGAAGGTTCATCTGTGAAAAGGCTCTCTCCGCTGCTGCGGAATTCGCCACAGTATTGCAAAGACGACGGGCAAAAGGAGCAAGAATAGGAGCAAAGTCCGCCTATAAATGGATCTTAATGATAAGTAATTTTTCTCTATAGTTGAAAGCTTCGACTTACGGCTTCAAGCCAAAAGAGAGATGGACAGTTAGCCTTCCAGCAAGAAGCATTATAAAATGCACCTGTCTTCTGCCGAAACGACAGAAATTCGTGCCAAGCAGACGAGCTTTTATCTTCGTTTTGAAGAGGCCGTAGAACACCTTCAATGTGATATCGAGAGCTCTCGTCAACTTTCCCAGGGACTCTAGCAGGGTCAAGATGATAAGCTACCCAGTGAATAGGCTCTAGCTGACGCGTTATACGACTTTGCCAGCCTATGCCATCCAGATATGATAAAAAGTCATCCTTGAGGGATGTTTGGGAAGCCAGCGTTCGTAGACTTTCATGGAGATATAACCACCGTTGCGTTACCTCCATGATTGACGAGTTCCGGGCTTCCGATTCCTTCTGAGCTATATGCAGAGGCTTAAGTATCTTGATCAACTCCTTTAGTTGCCACCAGAAAGAATGAGAGTTAGCAGTCCGAACGATCTCCCTCCCCCTTGTAGTCGAAGCAGCAGGAGTTGCGAGAGTCCACTCGCAGATAGCTTCTTGGCAATCATGAAGTGATGACAGCGTATTATACTGCGTTCCCCATCGTGTAATGACCGACGCAATAAGCGCCTTTCTATGACCCCACTTCTCAATCTGCTTTGCTGGCATCCTTGCGTACTCAAGTGGTGAGTGGTGGAAGAAGACAACAACTTCAAGGGCAGACCTAAACACCTCTTTCGCCCGTAGAACCTTTGAGGACTTAGGATCAACGATATCCTTCATAATTAGCTGTAGGCCGTGAGAGTCACAGGGAATCATAAAGCAGTGTCTGAGTTCTGGAGTTGCCTCCAGTTTCTCCCAGACTGATTTCATGACATGACATGTGTCTGTCGAAATAGAATTGATCCTCTTCCAGTCAACGACTTTGTCTAGCTGTAGTAGGATGCCTTGGAGCCTGTTTAAGATCCAACTACTAATAGCAGGAGCATCAAGAGTCTTGTCTTCCATGTCATTAAGATGAATAAACCACGACTTCGTCGGCGTTGTTATAGTCATCACAATCACCCGCTGAGATCGGATGTTAGTGGTCTCATCCACCGTCACATTCAGGAACTGGGTTCTTCGCAGCTCCTTAAGCACCTCCTGCTGTAGTCCATGGTATGCTTCATCCAGCAGATCATCGGCGATTCGGTGTCGAGAAGGGATTTGATACGTTGGACTCAACGCATAGATGAGGTCACGCATCTCTTTCTGATCAAAGAGATTAAATGGCCTGGCTCCAGTAAAGCAGACCTGGGCTATTAGCTGATCAATACCCCGGGATGGCTGAGAAGTAGAAACACTTAGCAGTTTCTGTTTCTTCCCCGTGGCGGTCTCAGGATCCATCAGAGCCTGTGCTTTGATGCATTTATTAACGTGCTCACTCTGACGAGTCGTGTTTTTGGCGCGAATTTTAAAGCATCCGAGGCATTTTGCTTGGGGCACCTAGCCATAGAGATGAGACGGCAGAACCTTCTATCGCGGGCTCCTATTGGCCGAAAGTTTTCACCGCTAATGATGACTCATCAAGCTGCAGCCCCTTGAAATGTAATTGAAAGGAGGAAAAAAATTGAAATTCAAAGATTTCGTAATGAGTTGGCCAATTTCGTTATTACACCATCACTAGTTGTAATGTTCTAGACACCCTAAAGACCATACGGGTCCAACACAGAAGCTATTTTTAATTTGTCAGTTACGACTGTACTGGAATACTGCCAAGAAAGGGGCTCAGGCAGAGTAATGGGTATAGCGTGTTTTGGGACAGGTTCGAGAGAGAATCTCTTTGTGCAAGTGGTGAAACTAATTTCGATCCTCCCAAAAGAATGGTGGCGTTGAAAGGAAATAATTATTGGATATGTTGCATAGAAAGGGAGCTGTAGAATGGTCCGATTGAACGAGGCATGGGTTGCAACAGGCCTCACTTAGGATAGGCATCGTGTCCAGCGTTTGCTACCTAGCAGAGCACGTACGCGACAGGAGCCAAGAAATCTATAAATACGTCCTCTCCTCCCAGCGATTCGTTCCACAATACTTCACTTGCTGTGCAAAGTCGAGCATGCCCTCGGTTTGAGGCACCTGATGAGTTCTTCCCTTCAACCCTACTGGAAGTTTCACTATACTGACATCTATGGATACATCGCGGGCCGACAAGCTAGAAAGGGCTTGCGAGAAAGTGATTCCGGCTAGATCCACTATGCCACCTATGCCAGCCCATCAAAGAAGCAGATTTGGGTTAGCTGGTCAAAGTATGCATAGCAGCCGACCACTGTCCCGCCTCTGAATATCGATGCAAAAGAGCGATTTCCATACAGGTATGTAGATTTCAGCGCGACCCTTTCCGAAACTGGACTGACTTCAAAGACGATACAAAAGAAAGATCCGTGCGTTCCGTCCAATGCGCGCAAAGCCACGGAATCCTTTCCGGTGTCTTCTTTCAGAACAGGTAAGTCACTCATTGTCTCGCCGACCAAATAGCTAATGGTGGACAGGAAACCGTTGACAGCGCACCAAAGTGAGCCCGAACCAGCACTCCGTCAGTACTCCACGCAGAGTCATGGCTTACACACCATTTCTGGCCCTGCCACTTCAAATCATGTAGCATGTCCTGAAATTCTGCAAACCAGGGCTGCGGGTCAACGACAGGACGCATAAGCCCCAGACGTTCGTTGTGCACGATGAGGTGTGTGCAATATCGCACCTCCTGCTGCGCCGGGTCCGATAATCTGTGCCAAGTCTGTGTCTCAAACACAAAAACCACTGACATCTTCATGCCGTTGTAGGAGCAGCCCATCACTAACCTCGAAAACTGCTGTGGCGAGTAACGTATTCCCGCCGAGTCAGATAAGACCAAGGGGCCGACGCGCTCCATCGCGTCTTACGCCCTCCACCTCACCGCCTTCACATCCTCAACAACAGAGTGCCTCTACACGGAGCAGTCTCCCAATACGACTGTACAATTTCTTGTCACAAGTGGGCTCGTCACGCGCCTTTGCCGTCTTGTGAACTTGCCCGGTGCATCCAGCGCAACTTCTCGAAGCGACAGCCGGAGAGTGCGACGAACCTGGATAAAACATGGCATGATTGGTGATTGCATTGCAGAAGAAAATTGGCCGTGATATAGTTGGTAAGCTGGTATGATCATGATTCTTGTTTATCATCTGCTTCAAGCGTACACCCCGGGAATTCTTCTTCAGCAACGTAACCAACACCTCGTCCAACTGGATCAACACTTGCTGACTCTGATCTCACAACAGGAAGACACTCCCATATTCTCACAGTCGAATGCGAAGCGAGCAAATGTCTTGTCTGCTCGACCTCCCCTGCACCAACACCATCGCATGCTCTGTTTCTTCCACATGACTACCGATGGCATCGACGAGTCGCTACCTCGACCTTCTCCCAGTCGATTTGGTTCATCAGATCATGCGTTGATATGTCTATCTGATGCAAGACGCAATGGAGCGCATAGCAGTGTCTGTTTCTCGGCATTTGAACACAGGGGATAGCCTACTTGCGGTTGGCTCCCTGCCGTCCAGTGGGTGACCATCGTTGTCCTCGGATGGCGTCTAGTGTCTTTCGAGTCTGAAACCTGAAGACACGGGGAGCAGCCGATATTTCGTCTTGCTAGAGCCATATTATCGTACTGGTGAGGTTGTTAGTCGAGACTGCTTGCAAGGAGAACGTGAGGCGAAAGTCCCGTCATCTCTAGCCGAATCAACTAACAATAGCCATGCCAGCTTCGAATCGATGGACGAAACCGAGGACGGCCAAACGAAAGAGAACCCATGACCCAAGAACCACGTCTGATAGAGTCCCCCTGATTCCTCTTCCTCTCCGCGTTGCTCAGCTTATCGACGTATTCGAGCGAGCGAGAACCACTCGGACATACACGGAGCTGCATGCTATCAGGATTGTTTGTCTTTTCCCTGTTAGACAGAAGCTTGGTTGATTTGATTCCTAAGCCTGTGTTTTTCTATCCAAGCCCGAGCACTATGTGCAAAGCCAGTCCACGTTGGAGGTCACAGCAGCTGGAGGTTAGTCAAGCTATGCAATATCCTTTGTCCATTGAGACTGTCTTCTAACATCTCGCAATTAGCGGCGCAAGCAGGTCTTGCCAGGAAATCACCGACTTCTTTACCTCCCGAGCTCACTGCCCTTTGAGCATCGATGATATTTCCTCAAACTCATTGCGCCGGAAGATATCTGGCATATCACTGTTCGAGCAACTTACCTTGAAGGTGGGTTTGATGTCTGTAGTAGCACCACGAGAGCCATCCGCTTGTAGGACCTCTTGAACTCTCCCGTACAGCCTATACTGAATTTTCCACCCCCTAATAAACGCTCACGTCGTATTTGCTTTGGAAGGATGGTTTAAGTGCATGCCTGCGACGACTACACGTAGATCAGATTAACCCTGCGCTGATACTGCCCAGTCCTGAACGGCGATGCTAGAGAGATGACTTTGCCAGTTCTGGTTCCAGATGGCTAGTTGGACCCCAATTGGGCTTCAACCGTGCTATATCAGCAGCGAAGCATGATTTATCGCATGACAAATGAATACGTCCACAAAAAGTAATGGCCGTCGCTTTAATCGCTGTAGTGGACTTTTACGAGAGATTGGGTGGACTATCAACCGTAGTTGCTGACGGGAATTATTCACAAAGTTGCGACGGCTCCTATATATAGAAGGGGCTGATCGAATAATCCTGAGCCGAAACCCTTAATTACATGGTTCGTCTCGAGGCAAAGCTACCATTTATTCAGTAATTGCTCTAGGTATCTAGTGTAGAGCAGGTTTGAGTGAACTCGTAATAGCCATCTGAAGCAATTTCTTTGACGACGGAAGGAAGAGAGCCGACCCCATAATCATCTTGAATTGAGCTCATGATTCGTACTTTTGAGACACATCACATGGCTCCACACCCGTAGGTCTGACCATGAGCGTACAGTATATTGCGTGATCATAGCTGAGCATTTTTTGAACTGAATCATCTTAATTGAGTTGGAGGCTGCACATCAGGGAGTGACGAAAGGGGATCAAAATCGCCTTGCGGAATCAAAACAATGCAAATGATGTGGGTGACATGGCAAGAAACCGCGCTGCCTCCGTGAGACGGTGACCACCACTCCCTTCACCGCCCGACCATTCACCACAACAGTGGTTACATTACACAACATTTCACCACATCGACATCAACACATCAACACACCAACACACCAACACATCAACACATCAACACATCAACACATCAACACATCAACACATCAACACATCAACACATCAACACATCAAAACATCAACACATCAACACACCAACACATCAACACTCTCACCAAGTCTCACCAGCTCTTACCAGCTCTCACCAGCTCTCACCAGCTCTCTCAGCTCTCACCAATTCTCACAGCTCTCACCAATTCTCACCGACATGTTTGATCTACGCCTGAATGAAGGGTACCAATTTCAATACCGCGAAAGGACTATCGGACCGCAAACTATCAGCGCAGAACATTTGGGAACCTCCCCTTTGATAAGAATGACACTTTAGTTGTTATCTTATAATTTTGGCCATTGAATTTAACACGATCTATCTAGGGCTCATTCTACCTATCCAATGATGATCCTTCGGAAACAGAAACAGATTATGAGGAGGTTGGGCAGGTCTTTGCTTCTTCGAATACTGTTGAAAACTCGAATACTGGTCTCTAACACCACGGAGAGGTGCCTACACATCGCTAGAGGCCTTGTTAACGCAGCAATCCCCTGCAGAGCACGTTTGTTGACGCAGAGCTCGTCCTGCGAAGCGCCTTTTTACACTCGCGGGGCTCAGGGCAGCGAGGGAGCACACTCTTACACTCGCGGGGCTCAGGGCAGCGAGGGAGCACATTTGTTGACGCAGAGCCCATCCTGCGAGGCACACTTGTTGACGCAGAGCCCATCCTGCGAGGCACACTTGATCACGCAGAGCCCATCCTGCGTGGCACACTTGTTGACGCAGAGCCCATCCTGCGAGGCACACTTGGTAACGTAGAGCCCATCCTGCGGGGTAGTCTTGTTTTCGCAGCACCCCCCTGCGAGGATTATTGTTCACGCAGACCTATCCTGCGAGGTAGTCTTGTTTTCGCAGCACCCCCCTGCGAGGATTATTGTTGACGCAGACCTATCCTGCGAGGTAGTCTTGTTTTCGCAGCACCTCCCTGCGAGGATTATTGTTCACGCAGACCTATCCTGCGAAGCACCTTTCTACACTCGCGGGGCTCATGGCAGCGAGGGAACACAGTCTTACATCGCTGGGCTCGTGGCAGCGACAGCCGTGGTCACGGAAGCTCTCAAGCCCGCAGGCAAGAGAGGGACACCATGATGCTTCAAAGTGTGAGGGCCAAAGTGTGAGGATGGAAGTCCTGAGAATTTTGGGCTGGGAATCCGGCCCCTTTTATAATTTTTCGGTCAAGTCTCTACCAAGGAACCATTGCGCCGAGGGTAGCGAGAATCACTGTCCTTTGGTTGGCGTTGAAGCAAGTTGAACGACGTTGAAACGGTATTTGGAGACTTTGTGGCCTACAGACTCAAGTTTCGACCTGGGATCATTTCTCTCAAATCTTGCGTTGAGTATGGTGAACTACTTTCATCAACTGTTGAAAGAAAGCAACGCCGCAAAAATGTGATTCCTACATATTGTTGAGTTTGCAATTAAATCGCTCAACGCGGTGGCACCCTACATCTGCCTGTTTTAGCCACGGTCACCGTCTCTTTCATGAGGGTTGAAGTGCTTCAACAGATGCCAAAATAATAGGTTGAAAAATTTCTGGCTGACAGAAACGCTGGACTGTACCTGCGGTTGGCTGGAGGATCCTTTGGTCTCGCTCGAATCAATCCTGTTCATCCTTGGCCCTGCGCCGCTGAATGTTGTTTCTTTCCTGTCTCCTCGCAGCCAGCTAATGTTGCTTTTACTAGAATCTCTACTCCCTGGCCGCACAGATATTGACATACTCTCAAGCTCAGGTTGAGGATTGTCCTTCTTCGGGAGGGCATAACCAAAAGTCCAGAGCTTATTGGAAAGCCTCCATAGGAAACCGAGCCTAGGACAACCATGTAAAATGTGCAACCAGGCCCACGAGCTAGATTCTCGTGATCGCCACCCCCCCGCGAGATTGCAACGCTACTATCACATTCTGATGAGGCCTTGGACACAAGAAGCACGAGTCGGACCAATCAAACACCACGCGTGGATTTAGACAGACGCAGGTACGGTTCTGCGATGCAGATCCCAGCGACGACCCACGGGATAGTAGATCAAGGAGGTTCTATTTATGGCCCGGAGAAGAAATGAAGGATTTGCAAAGGTCCAGACACAAGCCCAAACTTGACGGCCGTCAGTGTCCGATGGAAAAGGACTTTGTTGCGTAGAAGGTACGGTCGAGGTACGGTCCAGGCAGGTGAGGTATTTGGAATATCACGCGGAATTCTGGCAACGGAATGGTAGGCTAAATCCCGATCCGTGGTTATGCTCTCCTGGTTGCTGTCACAGGAGAGCAAGTTCCCCTGTCAAGTGGCAAGCTGCTCCTTGTCTATCTGGTCTGTA